TTAGGGTATGACACGTGAGGACATCTGCACTTAACGTTCCATCTGAAGCTGGAGAAATGTATCGATTTCATCAAAAGAAACTCTCAGTTTTTGTTTGATTTGCTCTTCCAGAATTAACAATTTTATCGTAAGTCAGCTTGTTATCCTAACTTAATTCGGGACTCTGTAGCTCTGGTTCGTGCATTAAACACAGGTGCATTGACACATAATAAAAACTCAATAAGATTTTAAAGATAAAGGCGTTATATGGATAATGATAGAGAATGTGAAATCATTGTTGACAATGAGGTAAAATAGGTAAACATTGGTTTTTCTGGTAGTCACATTTTATTTATATTTGTTATGATAACGTTGGAAAGAAGAGACGTAAAGTGACATTCGCAACATACTATGTTAAAATAAAACTATTACATTTGTTACACTATAAGTAATGCTACATGATATCTACCGATAATCGATATCCATATTAAGGACATGTACCAGTTTCATTATATTGGTTTGGTTTTCAGTAATGTAAAAATCCTCTTTTTAATATACATGCTATATGTTTGACTTATGTTTATCTTGACAAATGAATTGTGCGGACAAATATCTTCCAGATTAAGATACCAATTTTCTAAACGAATTCAAAAACACCAATAATGTCTTTCAAAATTTCCAAATTTTCGGAATTTGTAAACCATGTTGCTACTCTTCCCTCAATACAGCTGTACAATACACTTTTAAATGATTAAATAACACAGAAACATTTTGCATACATATATATATACTGGGAACCAATATATAATCAAGAATTTTGAAATATCTGGTATCTTTGATCAGAAATGGTTTTGAGGCAAACTAATCTACAGTGACAACAATCTCATCACTTTCGATTTTGATGGAGTAGATAGTTCACTTTACAAGTGATTCCATACATTACAACTATTCCACAACTAACCCGATATATACGCACATTGTGTCTTTTCACAACTAATTCGGTATTTGCACACAGAAGATACATTGTTGCTATTTCACAACTTAACTCGATATATACCCACGAAAGTAACAATGTAGCTATTTATATATTTACTCATCAGGCTCGTTATTTCACAACTAACATGTTTTACATATTTGTACTAAGAATAAGCTGCAGTCATTTCAGAACTAATTTGCTATTTTATCTGTATTAAGTTACATTGCAATCCACAAATTGTATGACACTGAACACACAAATAGTGTTAATATTACATTTTCACTGCTACCTAGAAGTTGCAGTCATTTTCTGCTGTTAAACACCAGTATTTCTTAATCTGTTTTGATTAAAGAACACGAAAGTTTCTACAGAATTCGAGTACACCTTAACATGAATGAAACGCCTACGACATAGTAAGATGATCTGAAGCGAAAGAATGTGTAGACCGTAGCGATCAATATGCGGAAAATAGAGTACACAGAGAAAAGTTAAGCTTGTTTGTGTCATGTTTTGCCCAGAAACGAATGGGCAAGATATATAAAATGTTTATTTAGCAAACATGGTGGAAAATGGTATTTTTGGCCTGTTTCAACCTACACGAAATGTTACCAATAGGTTAACATGAAAACAATTACTGAAGCTGAAAGAAAGTTGTTGTTATTTTTTGACGCCGTAGTCTCGGGGTGGCAATAAAGAATGAAAATAAATAGCAGAGACTTTAGAACTGGCAGCAAGATGAAAATAACGCCTAGGTGGTCCAATTAAATGCTGTCACGGCCCTCAGGTCCCCCTCTCTTCCCCCACCCCTCTCGGCCGGCATGTCGCAGTCAACAACAATAGAGGCGGTAGAAATGCGTTGCCACGCGCCGAGCTATATCGATATTGTGTGTGTTTTAGCCATTTTGTAAACCAATTACCTATACGACTAAACTATAAACGAATCACATAGTCTCCACCAGATTAAACCGTCCCAATACAAACAATGTGTACCTACCGCGCGTGCTAGTAAGTGAAGCTTTACGTAGAGTAATGTCTGTTCGTATTGTTTTCCTACTACCTGATTGTTATTTATTTCGGGGACGGCTGAAGAAAGTCGTTGTCTACGTTTAATGTCACTTAACTGGCTAAAGGTAGTGCTATCTATACATATGCCTGACAATGTTCGAACGTTGGCCGTGTACTGATCGGTTGTTTTTATTCGACGCTAATTACATTTTGTAAATGAATGTGTTCCTTGGAAACGCTTGTAGAAAGTACTTTAAAATTACTTTACTTTAAACCCCTCTCTAAAACTATACATCTTAAAATAATTTTGATGGTAATATGGTGAATGCAATCAAACTTCATGCTTAAAGTTCAATACTCAAATAACGGTGATAAGTGAGGTGATAAAGGCTTCGCCGGAGTCCTAAAGAGTTTGTAGCGGGCAAGTTAAGCAACCATCAGAAGCATTTCCTTCCACCATGATAACATGCTCTGTCCGTTTAGGTCTGTCAATCTACGTATGTACCTATTTGCAACCTTCTCCATTTTTCGCATTTTAGGTTGCTTTAGGACCCATGCATTGCTGGCGATTCCCAGAAGGACGAAAACTCTGTGTGATGTAGTTTTATTTTTATTGGAAAGTGCCATAGAAGATGTTACTTATTTCCTACCGACAAATTCAAGATGTGTTACTTTATGTTTAGTACATAATCACATGATCTGTCATTTTGTAATTTGAGCATGATTCATGATATTAAAATGATGTTTTTTATATTTTTTTACTTCACTCATAACGCGATGTAGATTTTTTTTTGAAGAATGAAAGCTGAACGATACGTCACGAAGTGGGAGGTTGACAGCTATATTTGTGCACATAATGAAACATGAGAATGCTAATCAGGAAAGTGTTTTCTTCCTGGGGGAATATATTTGGATAAATCCTTGATACAGAGCTTAATTATAAACTCAGTTATCGATAAGAATGAAATCTATCTCCCTTGCTATTTCTCAAGTGTTGAAATTCTCAATAGGCTCTGGCGAAAACGGTAAACATCTCTGCAGGAATTTTTCTTATCCGTGTCATAAGCCCCACATGTAGCAGAACAAGTGTTCTATATCTTTAAATACTACTTATCTCGAGTATTGTACTAACGCCTATTGCTAATTTGATGGATTAGAATTCACGTTTCACCTTGAGCTCTTCCGCGTTTTGAGGTTACTCGGTACGGTTTTTGGTATAATACTTATATACAAGCGTTTATATGAAACGGCATTTTGACACTGACACTGAAGATAGCCACTGGTTGGGTATTCACAACATCTATAAATATTTACATAGTTTTGGTAGAGTATTTAATGCCTAGATTGTATAGGCGGAAGGAAGCTCTTAATTTTAGCGTATGTTTAGTGAAAGTAAGTTGTGCTTTACGACAGCGAAATAATGGAGACATATCGGAGACTGAAATAAGCACTGTTTAGCTAGAAATGCATTTTTTTATTAGTTTGTTTTTATATTAGTAAAGAGGCTTCAGTATTTCCTAATCATCTGTCGTATACAAATATATGATCATCACAATAAACAGACAATTCTTTGTAATTTCCATGCTTTTGAATAAGTGGGATGCCAATTTTGACGAGATATTCTAGAAACCACTGGTTTTAGGTTTGTAGGTTAACAAAGGACTTATATAATTTCTTTTCCTATCGATCTTTTTAATATCTGCAATCAGTATATCACATTATATAAGTGTATTATATGCATGTACTATAGTTTTTAAGGTTTCATTCGAAAGCCTTTGTAGATGATGAGTCAAGTCTTTTCCGTATTTTTTCTTCCGAACTTCTCGTTTGGCATCGCCTCGATTTGGGGATGAATGTCAAGCGTTCCGTCAAGAGAGCAAGGTTAAAGGTCATGTCAGCGGACAACATAAAATCTGTACTCCTAACATTAATTTTACGGTAGCGACAAGTAGGCATGTTTGTAAATATACAGTGATCTGGTGTGATGGCATACGACCGTGTCGGGGTTTTCATCTGTTATCACCGCATTCCATTCAAGTGATAAAGGACATAAATCGTAAGAAGAGAAAAGGATGGGTTGATGATACAGTAAAAACACGAGTCATCACTTTATCCAGGATCAAATGAGAGAAAGGAGAAAGGGGTGGACTCAAACGTTCGAGTAGAAATGAATATTAAGAAATCTGCTTCCTTCTTTATAGAAGACTAATGACAAAAAATGATTCACAGTGGGTAATATTTGGTTAACATAAGCCTTCGATTTATAGGGAGAAAGTGTGACCTCTTTCGCGAGGCATGATAAGAGACTCCGAGAAGTTGATTTTGTTTCAACTAAAATTGCCTACCAAAGTTACTCTCGTGAATTAAATATGATTATAATAATGGTCCCCAGCTTAGTCGCCTCTTACGATGATATAGTTGGGATAGCACGTAAGTCCTATGTCTATAGAACATTTATGGAACATTCGTTTTACGAGGTTCTGTTAATGTTTATTTTGGTCCCTGTACCTTTGTTCTGAGGAATTCTCACTTAACGATGTTTTTGCTTAATGTCATGAAAATCTAGTTGTGAATTGTATATGAACTTATGATAGGAGAATGATTCATGTTAATATCCGTTTCTGTTTTAATCCAAGTTTTTGCAGGATTCGTCGTTTCTGAATGTAAGGATCCCCACATGCAACTCATTGTTATGAAAGCTCTTTCAGAGCCCCAAAAGAGAGAATTTTGATGATTTTATTCTGTTACCGATATACGTCCAGAGCCATTATATATACGACACCAATCCTCTGCACTCTTGGTCTACTTCTTAATTCTGAACAAGTGGTACGTAAAGCAGAAAAGTTCCCTGACGGACGACGGGCCTCAAAATAAACCCCTGAGCTTTTGTTACTTTCGTTTTGTATAGTTTAACTCATTTTTACTTCTATTAATCGCCATCTTGAATGGCGAAAGACATAACTAACTAACCAATCTGCTAGATAAAATAGAAAAAGTACAAATGACAGATTTGAAGAAAATGAATAAAATATATGCTTACTCTTACTTTGACAAAGGCGCCAGCAAATCCTCCTATTTTGGGAATATTTAGAGCCAGGTCTTTAAAATTAAACTCGCCAGCTTGGAATGGACAATGACATTGTATATTGAAATTACGTAACCGTTTCGGACAGCGCTGTCTTCTTTCAAAAGTCTCTAAGTTCGCACAAATATTATCGTAAGTACTGAAAAGAAAAAAAAACATGAATTATCCATAGAGTGCAGAAAATCAATAATATAACATATCCTTAATGCTGTATAGATAACGTTTGTAAAACGGTGATGAATTCGGACGATATGACGTGTTAAAACAAATTAGATATTTCAATATTCATGCACACACAACATACAGTCGTTGCACCGTCCAGCGGATACTGCCTTCTAACCATATCTCCGACTATTTTGTTCGTTAAGCGAATTCCAGATTCTAGTTCGTCAGCCTAGGCAGTCAATCTCTGACAAACAATCGATTGATCGTCATAAACAGATATAGACAATGGATAACGTGTGTGTTATTGTACGTTCGATAAGATGTTATTAAAACTTACCTATTACCAATCATATCATTGTTTTTGTTATTATCACACGTGGAATACGGAGCTGTGATTGGTTTAAGACTGTTATTGTTTCTGTTGTTGACTTCATGGCGTCACATTCATTGTGAAGTCACCAAAGAAAACCATATCTCCAACTCTTGTATCAGTCAGACAAAATTCTATTTCTCGAATGTAAGTAAAAGTGGATGCTAGTTAAGTCTCAACATCTGTTCTGTCTCATATGAGATTGTTGAAAATCGTCACACAATTTTCATTTCACCTCACCAGAGACTTGGCAAACGAAAAAAAAATCTAAGAGTATACAGCAAACTTGTATGAGAAAAATTCACGCAAGATCCTCTTTAATATAGAGGAGGTGGAGTATGTAATCCTGGTAAGTACTAGCCGCAATATACAGCTCGACTAGAAAGAAATTTTCTTCAGCTCGGTCGATTGAGCGTCATACTAGTAAGTCATGGTGCTTGGGTTCGAACCCTAGTGGAAACATTGAAATGAATAAATGACCTTTATTGCAAAGTTAATAAATACGACATAATTAGATAATTTCTTGTATATAGAACATGTTAAAGTGTAGATGATAAGTGAAACGGTATTCAAAATTATTATGTTTTAACCCGCTAATATCTTCATCGTTCCTGTTGCATAATAGAACCGTCAACATAGTTTTAGATTGTGGATATTTACGATGTAGAACAACTAGTACAAGAGCCAGTTGCTCACACCCAGGTGTTTACCATCATATTGTGTGTGTGGCACAGGAGTGGGCGGGGAGAGGATCTCGGAAGATAAACATATCAAGACACAACCTCTTTAACACGATGATTTATAGTACTGCGTAGTCTGTTGTCGATCGTGGTACCGGGTACAATCCTTATCGTCTACTTTGGTCTCGCACAGTCGGGCGGGGTCACTCGAATGTTTGTACACCTAATAGCTAATAGAATATAATTACAGGTGTCGAAATCGTCCTGTGCCTTTTAATTATAGGAATGACTGTTAAAGCCAAATAAAGGTCGACTTCGTTAAGGTATTTTATGTGTTCAAGGTGACAAAATACTGATGTCATACGGACGTAAACTTAAGTGATGTCTCTATCCACCTGTTTATAAAGTGCCTACATAGCAGTTTCATTTTTATGCTTACAAACGCATTCTTCCGTTTGGACAATTTAGTGTCTCTGACATTAATGATTTAAACATACTTTTAGATAATAAACGCTGATATTGTCTATATCGTATCATGATTTTTGTCTGTTACATATGTTATATTTCAATTAAACTTCAGCACCTGTGGTTTCTTATGTATGTGTACCAAGGTACCCGTCCGTTTAAACACAATTGTTCCACTTTTCATCAAAATTGCCAGTTCATCATCACATCATTGAAGTGTTGTCATGAATTATCAAATTTCATTTTTTCGGCAATTATTTGTGAAATATATTATGAAGATGTAAAATGCTATTTTCCCTTTGAAGTATGAAGGAAATTATAGACCAGATACTAAACAGTTTAAAAGAGACACGGTGTGTAACAAAGCCTGCCTTTGTTGAACATGTCAACGTTTTCGTATCAGCGACAAATATAGAAATTGTTGGGATGTTTCCGACACTTTTTAAAGATATATAATAAACGATATTCCATTTGTTTGCTTGACTATCTTTAAACTGTTAAATGTCTGCATATATACCTTACCCTCGTTTTATAAATTCTGACTGAATCGAATAATGATTTTATGTACATTTTAAGTATCAGTCTGTCTGCACAATCAATAGGACCCAAGCCTAAACACTCAAATAAGATTGTTATTTCCCTGTTTCAATTACCTTTTTGTTGTTGTAAATCATAAGGCATGCTTTATTATCAACCCCCAATCAGGCCAGGAAACGTAATTTACGAGTCTAGAGAAATTAACAATTTCAGTAGGGTGGTTTAAAGATACACACCTAAGTGTATGCCACGCACACGTGTTTACACATTAAGATGAATATAGTTTGAACCCCTTAATAATGTACATTGTAGACCTTTTTCATGTAATTGCAATTAGTATACCATTATCGTCCCAGACTTTTCTCTATGGCAATTTTCCGAGGGCAACGTCTGTTGAGACGAAAATTAAAATTAATAGGGATTTAAGTTAGTGTTTAATCGGAAGAAAAATAATGAAATTTAATGGTGTTTAACAAATCCTAGTGGTATTGGGATTATTCAATCACGAAGTCCCGAAACACCCACGATTATTTTACATTGTTTTGGTGATCACACTCAGATTGTATTGCCATATTGCCGAAGTACTCACAATCCCAATCTTATAGTCAATATTAGTTAGGAATTTCATGGGTCTATTTACCAGATAAAATCAAAAGCAAGCAAGATCAAAGTAGATCAGCAGGTCATAAGTCTGCGATGTATATAGTATGATAACTTAAAATCTTAGTACTTAGAAATGACATTTCCAAATGCACAATAGAACAATAAATCATATATTTGTAATATAGCGGACTGTTAGACTCTTACTTAAGGAAAAACCTACTAGAATGCACAGATTACAGTGGAGTGAATGGATGGGTTTGTGGTGGGGTTGTCTCAAAACGGATTACTATGTATATTACAGGTTTATCTATGTAGCAAACAGATTTGTTTAAGTCATCGTACGATTTGTGTGTTCATTGATTAACCATCGCTAAGCTAGAGATATGACGATCGGTGCGTTTCTTGAGATGACCTCCTATTGTCAGTATCTAAGTGTGTCAGAAGCGATATGTCTATACATTACGTACATCTTTGTTCCAGAAAATAAGATTTGCAACATAAAACAATAATAAAAAGTCCATGTTTACTGTTATAGTTAAGTGTTCATGATCTGACTTTATGTATGACTATTTATACGGAAACTTTAACTACATTCAATTTAGTAAAATACATATATCAATATGGAAATGGTCATTTTAACAGAATTTGATATTTACAATAATATTATATAAACATATTCATAATATGTACATATAATAGTTATAAAATATGATATTATCAGAAAACAATGTTTTTTTTTTGTTTTACTTACCAAGAACCTATGTGACTATCAAAGCACGGTACTAAAAAGGCAATGCCAATAAAGTATTTTTTAACTTCCAGTTTTATAGAAATCCTTCGCGGGAGATCGTGTGAGATGTTTCCCGCCATGCTGACATACAGTGTCCCAGGTGTAATGATAGGAATCGGGTTAGCCTTGAAATCGTAGAAAAATATCGGTCGTTGTGGATTTTTCCCTGAAAATTGCAAAAAAACAAAAACATATATCAGATATGGATTGATGATTGATACACTACCTTTTGGTTGAACAAACGGCGGTGTAACTATTGAAGTCCCTAGCCCTTTCTTTCCCCATACAGTTAATACATGGCATATACTATCTGAAACCTACATTAGCTCGCTTTTGATCGATAGAGCAATGCTTTTGGTAACGCTGTTACCTTCAATCAAATATTTTATAACATTTTTGCTGGGGAAATAGAACAATTTTTAAAAATTGCTTAACTCTTATATCACTAATGCAGTGATAATATAAGGTAGCGTATAACAGCATTAAGGATAATATAGCTTTACTAGTGATGATATAACGTTCGCACGTTTCAATGAATTATCGTTTTTTAATGAAATTATATTGATTTCCTTCTCTGTCGCAAATGGACGCCAACAAACCGTAGGTTGAATAAGCTTAATTCCATTTAATGATTGCCATGTACATTTCTGTTTTTCTCTAATTTGGTATATAGAATAGTTTTGTAGGCGATTCTTAACAGATAACATCATAGATTGGTAGAATACAACGTTAATCATCTAATTCAAAATGCCATCGTCTTGTTGTCAACCGTAACGTCAAACTTTCTGACGTCAAGAACTATTTTATGTTCGGATCCGCTTTAATGTTTTCCCGTTGAATTGTCTGCCGTTAAATATATCACTTTCTGTCATATTTGTGATAATTTATGATATTTAACGAAAAACACTTAAATATCTTCTCTGTCTTTGCTTTCTCAAAACCTGTAAGAAATGGTGGTCAGCAAAAGCAAGAGCTCTTTATTCCTAAAGACCATTGTTACAGATTTTTACAATAAGATGAAAAAATATGCAAATTCACACAAAAATGTGTTGTTTATTTTCATATGAAGATGGTTTGATTTCAAACTTGTTATTAGCATATTGTGCGAGTTTGGTTAAGTGTACAAATTACAAATAATGCTGACTTTTAGTTTGTTTTCTATTCGTCTATATTCTATAGGTTGTATGAAAACAGTTTTCGCGGATGATGTATAGCACATGAAATAAGATAATCTGAGTTAGCAAGTTTTTTAAACTCGACCGATAAAAAGTAAACGGCTTGATGGTGACAAAACTGATATTAAGTAACATTCAATGAAGCAAAGCGAGAATATGTTATTCTGTTTGAAGTGCATGATGCTTTCCTTTCATATTAATCAACTTATATTCGTATTATGACATGCGTACTTATATTGATTATTCCGGGAGAGGACACTGCTTCATCACAGAAATTTGCCTTTGTGTGCCATGTGCTGGTAAAACAATGATTCACGAATTATGTTCCATTGAAACGCTTTTTACATTCGAATGAATGAAAACAGTGCAATTTTCAGGATTTTATTTTGCCACCTTGACTGTAATTACAAAGTATAAAATTATTATACTTCTTGTATTACATGCCGGTATATACATATAAACTGAAGTGATAATGGTATCTGCATACCAGATCTAACCGAGTTATTGTTTAACCACTGGTTAGACCAATACATATAAGTTTTTGAGGCTGGAGCCCTTGTTACATTAGAGAGATTAAAATGAAGTTTCATAAATGGACAATATTATCTTGTACCAAGAATTTATATTTATTTGGTGTATTTTTTTGCATTTTCTTACACATCGCCTGAAGACGAAGAGGGTAATAATTATATGAATTTTGTATTAAAAACCTGACGATCTATGTAACTCAACTTGGACATTGTATGTCTTTTGTTGCGGTGCGGTATACTAAGCACGTGAAGTCTGCCTCGGAGCAAACAATAAACGTGTATAAGAGGAAGCATACTGGTGTACGTGCGAGCAACTGTTATGGCGTGGTATCATAGAACCACCTGGCACAATCAGAACGGAAATGTTCTCTAAGCATGCGCAGCTATTAAATTTGCTAACAGGTGGTGTATGTGGTAGGTCGTCATTTTTTACCCGTGGGGGTTCGCGCGTGCATGTTTGATCAACTCAAATCATGATGAAAATACCCTAATTTGCATGCTATATTTATACTTGAATCTATTATTTGTATTTTATTACGCATTAAATTGTTAAAAATTCCGACGGAAATGTGAGCATCTCTTCTCACAATTGACACGTTTCTTCATAAATCAAAACCTTGTGTTAACTTATCTATATAATGTATGCTCACAATATATAGCAAAATGTATCAAAGTAATCTATTCGCTATAGTTTTAATGGCTTGTGCTCTACTTAAAACACCAAGCACGAATTCGCTAACGACTCCCCACGTTAAAGCGCTTACCAAAGCAGGGAAAAATAAATCAAAATTTGAATTTCATAAATATATTATTTTTCATAAGAAATAAATAAAAGTTATTATTTGAAATATTGACTTATCGAAACGATATTTGATATAGAGATTAAAGTTAGGTTAGTTCTGTGTATAGATAAAAAAAGAATATTAAAGGTTCACAGAAAATATGCCATTAACAAAATAAACATTTTTGTCGCTTTACTTTTGGTTGACTGTTCATGAATTTCTTTTGAAACTAAAAACAAATATTACATTTTATGATTTATTGAAACGAAGAAAGCCGACAAAGCGGTAAATCTATCAGATAGCACGTACTGTTTCTTTCAGTGTGTTCTTTGATATCCCAAAACAAGTTTAAAGTAACCCTTGTAATATTCATACCTTGTATATACCATACAATTAGTGTGTTTGATGTGTATAAAGTAGTTTCGAACACCATAGAAATGATTCAAAACTGGTCAACGATGGAGTCACAACCGTCTGTAATGTTTGGCACACTGTTTTTTCCTTAAAAGATGGAAATGATGAAACAGTTGTAACAAGCCAAAAACATTTAGCTGTATAGTAAACTGTACATTCCAGTCTATATTGCAGAAAAAGAACACGGCCACAAACTGTAAAAATATTGAAATAGAAATATTTCGAAAGTGTTCTCCGTTATACTATCAATTTTTAGATACGTGATTAAATCAACTTTATGAAATCACGCTTTGTAATTTTGGTCATAATTCCTGTTTCGGGTGAAGTTCATACAAACCTATCCTATGTAACTAACCAATTGAAATTATCATACTATATAGACACTGAATTATCTAACAATTTTATCAAGAATCCAAAATGACGTTTGAAAATATTATAGTGTGATGTAGAACCGTGATCTCACATTGTTAATTTGTCTATACTTATGTCGCCTTGTAGTGAAACTACGTGTCAGTGTAATGAACATAACGAAAATCAGCTGACCAGATCATACAGGGGAAATCAACAACGCTTGCTACTTATTTTATATTCACCGTCCAACAACTTTCGCGACTTTCTACTTAAATGGCCTGCCAAACCAGATTCCCGTATCAATTAAAACAGTTATGAGATCAATCCATTAATATCAGATTTCTTAACTTTATCATGATTCAAACCCATCTTTTTTTTTTGACAATTGTGTTAAAGTCACACTTCTAAGACTCGTCAGTGATGCTACATCAGACAGTTGTTTCGTCCTTCTTGTACTCGTCAGTGATGCCACATCATACAGTTGTTTCGTTCTTCCTGGACTCGTCAGTGATGCTACATCAAAAGTTATTTCGTCCTTCTAAGACTCGTCAGCTATGCTACATCATACAGTTGTTTCGTCCTGCTTGGACTCGTTAGCGATGCTAAATTTTGAAACCCAGAAGTCGACTGACAAAAACCAAAATTGATCGAAAGAATTTTCAAAATCTAGATCGGGAGGTGCATAAGCCCCATTATTGAATACATTTCATAATTCTGTATTATTTGATTATTTCTAGAGAACGTTAAGTCTATGTAAGCTAACGCGGATCAGTATGTGTTCAATAAATTGTCGGTATGTTGCATTTCATATAACAGAATTTCTCAAACGAATAATTATCTGATCTTAGTTATTGTTTCCTAAAGAAAACACGGTTCATCAAAATAATTAAGCTTTCATGTCTAGCATTGCTGAAAGGTTATTAAAAATTACGTGTTCTTTGCTGATTTGTCTTGTAGGTAGCCATTTTTCCTGGGTGGGCTGGGGAAAACTCGTCCAATATATTATAAGGTGAGGTAAATGTGTTCTGTAACGATGATGAATGTCGGGCTAGGTTGGACGACTCACAACAAACCACGGAGTTCACATATTCCTGGCTTTGATGAATCTATAGTATCCTCTTCTACACCAGGTAGGTAGGAATTTGTAATACACAACACTAATTGAGAGCAAAAGTATGTATAACATATGAAAACAGTTTGAATTGATTATCAAACAGTGCACATAGTCGGATGAAACGAGTTAAAGATATTGTTATGAAACAAAATATGTTACTAAAGATTTGCCAAAATTCAAGCTGGTTTAACTACAACTAATGTCACTTTTCAGCACATATTCATTGAATGCGTTGATACATTGCCAGTCCGAATTATCAGCAGTTAGCTACCGTCTCTCTCATTCATAGAGTTTTGTTAGGTTTGCATGTCCGATCGAAATGAGCATTTAATCCTTCATTGCATTTCTACAGAGTCTAATATACATAAAAATGACTCTTAAGTCTTTACCACCTTTACAATTAAATACCTCATGTTGTATACTGTCGACTTAAGTCGAAAGAAGAATTTCTAAATAATTCTACGTCGCATTAGTAATTGGTAAAGACACCAGTTCAATATGTTTTTCTCTGACTATTATGTATAAGTACCAATGCGATTCCACGTATAAGTACAAGTGAAAATATTTATTGAAATCATTTACGAAAAGTAAATGATTTTTAAATCATTGTAGGAAATAACAAAATTTATATATAAATAGTCATAATTTGTATGATATTCAATTGTCTTTTAGCAATAGGAAACATTAAGGTAGTATAGAAAGTTTACTCCTAATTTTTCCTGATAAATCATGTTGAAGGATCTCGACATGATAGATATTAACACACATATTGTTAGTCTCAACGTTGTGGTTTTTTCGGT